AAGACAAATGCTGATCAAACTCTAATGGATCAGACAGATCAAGCAGTGGAAAATAATGAAGTGGAAACTGAATTGGAGAAAGAAGTTATAGAGCACCCATGACTACCAGAAGCAAAGCGGGTTTCTTTAAGCCAAAAATCTACTCAACTCATTACAAGGAGTATGAAATTGAACTAGATAAAACTGAACCTAATGATGTACCTGAAGCTCCGTTGAATAAAAACTGGAGAAGAGCAATGGAGGAGGAATATAGAGCATTGATGAGAAACAAAACCTAGAAGCTGGTACCACATTTAGGTAATCAAAAGGTGATAGGAAACAAGTGGGTTTTCAGAGTCAAACGTGACATTGAAGGAAAGATACTTCAGCACAAAGTCAGACTTGTTGCAAAATGTTTCTTACAAAATTCAGATGTTGATTATTATGAGACCTTTAGCCCAGTAATTAAAGCTTCTATTGTAAGTATAATCCTCACTATTGCAGTGTCAAAAGGCTGGATTATAAGGCAGATTGATATAAATAATGCATTTTTGAATGGGAAGCTGGATGAAGAGGTATACATGAATCAGCCACAAGGCTTCACTGATAAAGAAAATCCTACATTTGTGTGCAAACTTGAAAAGACTCTTTATGGACTTAAGCAAGCACCTAGAGCCTGGTATGAAGAGCTAAAAAGCACACTTTTAGAATGGAAGTTTGTTAGATCCAAGGCAGATAACTCATTATTCTTCCACATGAATCAGAGGCAAATCATCTTTGTTTTGATGTATGTTGATGACATCCTGATAACCGGCAATGATCACAAGATGCTGCAGAGCTTTATTGATAAACTAAACACTCAGTTTGCATTAAAAGACTTGGGAGAGTTACATCAATTTCTAGGAATTGAAGTATCAAGACATGAATCAGGAGTGCAACTTACTCAAATCAAGTATACTAAAGACCTGTTGCAGAAGTTTAACTTTGAACATTTCAATCCATGTGCTACACCTATGATGGTAGGCATAAGTATTTCCAAGAATGAAGGAGAAAAGATGGGAGATCCCTCACATACACGACTTGACATAATGTTTACAGTGAATAAATTGAACCAATATTTACAAGCACCCTCAGATGTACACTAGAAGGCAGTCAAGAGTATTCAGATACTTGAAGGGGACAATTGAACAACGAATTTGGATTCAAAGAAGTGACAACATTGACATTACTGGCTTTGCAGATGTAGACTGGGCGTCCTGCCCTGATGACAGGAGATCAATGGCAGGTTATTGTGTTTATTTGGGAGACTCTCTAGTAGCATGGTCTTCAAAGAAACAACAAGTTGTTGCTAGGTCCAGCACAGAGTCAGAATATTGAGCTTTAGCACAAGCAACAGCTGAAGTTGCCTAGATAAAATCATTACTCAAAGAGATTAAGTTGCATCCTACTTCTCCTCCTATATTGTCGTGTGACAACCTTAGTGCAAGCTCTCTAGCTTCAAATCCACTCTACAACGCACGTACGAATCATATTAAGTAAGATATACACTTTGTAAGAGATAAGGTTCTTGAAGGAAAGCTAAAGATACAATATGTTCCATCTTCTGATCATGTGGTAGATTTGTTAACCAAGCCTCTCTCACAATCCAGATTTCTCTTTCTCAAACACAAGCTTGGAGTTAGAGGATAAACTCCAGCTTGAAAGAAGATGTCAGGATGTATTCTTATCATCAACATAAGCTGTAACAATACTCACAGCAACCATGAGCTGCTAACGTGCACATTTGGGACCACTTTGATTCTGTTCTAACTATATTGATCCTCACATGTGATTTGGTTTTTGTAATTTACTTGCTCACTATTCCAAACGTCCTCTATATATATTGTAAATCAGTCATGTTGGGAAATTATTTAATTTCCCGTGATGGGCTGACATATGTAATTAATTGTGTATAAATGCTATCTTAAAGTTAAGCCCAAAAATTAAAGTGATCTAATAAGGAATTAAGTAATTGGGCTTTAAGCATCTAATTAAAGTGAGGGCCGGACTATATGTGTAGA